AACACCAAACATTCGCACACATATAAAAACAGATGGGGGGGGGGGGGGGGGGTCATTTCCCTCTGTGTGTGTTACTGCTCTGATTAACTGACTCTTGCTCCATCTACTTAACCCTGTTACACTGAGGGACACACAGACAGATGAACAGCACAGAGCTGAATCTCTGGCAGTGAAATGTGCTGTGGTGTTTATTGCAACATGATGTCAGGTTACTCACATGACACACAATGTTTGTAACAGAAAATGAGTTGGTCAGGTCAGATGCTGACTGTCCGAACACAGCTGCTGCTTTCTACTGGTCATTTCTGGTTTCATTTATAATGATCCAGTTTTTGTTTTGCATTTGAAGAGTCAAGGTCGGATCAGATTTATTCTTCAGTGAAGATAAGTTCAACCTTAGATAGCCGCAGCACAGAGACGGACACACCTCCTCTGACACAGGGTTTGTAATGACTGTACAAAATATCATTAGTCATGATAAATATATGTTTAAACAATAACAATTCAGCATTCTTTAGTTTTAACTTACTAACTACATTACATGCAGCACTTTTCTGTCTTCACTGTCACTGATTTATTCCTGATGGTGTCTCTGCACCAAAATGTCCTTTTTGGGTCAGTTGTTTTTCTGTTTGTTTCCATTTCAGTCAGTTTCCTATTATTCCATCCCCATTCATGTATTAATGCTATATACTACTCTAACTTCCTGTGTGTCAAAATGTCAAATGACAAAGAGTCCTCAAAAAAAGGTACAGAGTGACTGTTAAGACCAGGGGAGAATGGAGTGGCTGTTTAATCAGATGTGCCTGAGATGGATGACAGACAAATATGGCCGATCAGTCCATCATGCTGTGGTGTCAGCTGTTGATGGTTCTGTTCCTCTGCTCTGCACAGGGAGTCCGTCCCGAACACTCTCCACTATGTCGCTGTCCGTTCGCCCAGTCAGACGCATCACCTCCAGATCCATCACTAGGAGCCAGAGTTTCACTGGAGTCAACACCTACGACAAGTCCTACAGGTACACACACACACACACACACACACACACAAACACTTGACAAGACATCCTGTCAGGTGGAGCTCAAAAGACAGACAGTCTGACTGTGTGTCTTCATACAGGGTGGAAATGGACCGATGGGACTTCCAGGGCTGATCTGGATTATTGTAGCTTAACTTTCAGATAATCAATACAGCTGCTACAATACAGTTTATTTTTACATTTTTATTTTTCTAATTTTTTATTAAACTTTATTTAATCAGGCAGTTTCATTAAGATTAAAACCTATTTTCCAAGAGAGACCTGAGAACAAGAAGCAGTCACGAGAGACAAATCAACAACAAAGACAACAGAGCTACACAACACAAGAAACTAAGAAACAAAGAATTAGCAAAAACATTTACAACAGTCATAAAATACATCAAATAATAAAGATTTAAAATCTCCAAGGGAAATGTAAGACTCTACTTTTATAGATGAATTGTTAACTTATATATATAATTAGTTTTTTGATTATATGTTTATGTTGGGATTATGAGATTCCAGGCTGGATGGGCTCATGGGTTCAGCTCACAGGATAACAGCTGAAGGAAATGGTGGTACACTGTCGTCATTATTCGGCTCTTCTTTGTTAACTAGCAAGCTAAGGCTGTGAAACCACTGACGCTCAGGCCTGTGCATTGTGTTGGTGTCAGTGTTGTTTCATTCATGACTATGACCTCACTAACGTTCCTGACTGACTGTGAGATCTGAGGCCTTTGACTGACAGGTGTGGACCTTCTCTCACATTTAATAACACAGTTACAGTTTCAGTATCTGAATTAGAGAGTTGTGATCAGTGGATTCAGTCACTGAGGTGAATGTGTGTGGAGATCTGTGTAGAGTTGTAGGACAGAGCGAGGCTGCTTCCTGTATTTGTGCTACAGCTGAACATGTCACGTAATCATATGTCGCATCATTTACAGTGTTTCTAAATCTATCAGTAGTAAATCTTTTACCATGAAAGAGACAAAATAAGTAGAATATATATAGATACATTTGTACAGGCCCATGCACTACCCCAGCCCTTCTCTTATATCTGCTATTATTATATGGATGTCTCTGTTACATAACTACACTGCACTATCACACATTTGTCACTTTTAGTAATAGTGGCTAATTTTACACTGCTCTGTCCAGTGTGTGAGACAATAGACTCCAGTCCAAGAGAGCCTGGGCAAGAAAAGTGGTTTTATAGATGAATGGACAGATTTACCCACCAACTGACTCTGTACTGCTGCTGCCATATGTTGTCATCTCATGGCGAAACATCAAATTCGCTGACAGGGCAACACTGTTCAATGAAAAGCTTCACAATAAAGCCTCATCAAGGTCTTAACGCTTTTCTGATGTTTGAGGTGGATCTGGTCAACCTATACTGACATGTAGTTGTCTTTAAGACCAGGACTCTTATCAAACATGTAAAGTTTGGAGCAGATTGGAGATAGTATAACTGAGTTACAACAACTTCCTAGTTCATCAGAATTCATTGTATCACCAGGGAAACGCTGTTCAATGAAAACCCTAATAAACAAAGCAGTTTCAAAGGGGTCCTCTCACAGGTTGGTGCTTGGGCCTGAAATGTTTTGGAGGAGAGGGAGAGACAGACTGGGTCAGGGTTAGTGTGTCAGTCTGACGTGACTGGATCAGGCTGATCTGATGATGTTAGGTGAGGATGTCTGAAGATGATGTTAACCTGCTGTTGCAGGAACCTCTCAGTGTTCAGCACTCCAGGTCTCAGCAGGAAGCCCAGCAGAGCCAGCAGGATGTTTACTATGTCCACCAAGTCCAACCCGCCACCTAAAGTTCCTCAACCAGAGCGACTGGATCAGGTCTATGAGGCACTGAAAAAAGGCCTTCAGTGAGTACACTCACAACACACACATACAGACACTCACACACACACACGTCGATTCTCAGCTTTAATTTTCGAGGGCTTGATGCTGCACAAATGATATTTCTGCATGTCTCTCATGTTCTGTGCTCCCATTCTGTATTACTATTGCAGTATACCTGATCTAGTAATACATTTCTCCTGTCTACTGCAGGTAAAATTGTTTTCACACACAATTATTTGTTAATTAGTTGTTCAGATTCTCAAAGAAACAATTAAATTTGAAAATTGAACGATATCAGTCTTCCATCTGTCTGTTAATTATGAAGCAACAGCCAACAGTCGGTTATCTTGACTTAGCAACAACTAACAGCTAGCCTAGCCCTTGTCTGAAGGTATGAACAACCAATACCTCTAAAGGTAAGATTAATTAACACAGATCTCACAACTACTATTTTAAGATCAACTGTCAACGGTAGAAATACACAGTGAACTAGGCTCAAAGTTCAAATCATCTTCAGCTCACCAAATCAAAAATATCTACATGGTCAGACTCTACTGTGTGTGTGTGTGTGTGTGTGTGCTTGTGTGTGTGTGTGTGTGTGTGTGTGTGTGTGTGTGTGTGTGTGTGTGTGTACGCTCTCAGGTCTTACCTGCAGGTTCATCAAATGGACTTGGACAGCCTCAGCAGACAGATGAAAGAATCAAAGAGGAACTCCAGACTGGTATGTCCTGACATGTTTGGCTTTGCCTTTTAAAGCTCCATATTCTCTCTCTCCCTCTTCTTCTGTGTTTTATTTGAAGTGTTGATCCATAAGAAGACTTATTTGTGGTTTAAGAACCAAAAACCATCTCAATGTAGTTTCACATCTCCTCTCTCAGGCTTCTCTCTGGAGCTCTCTTAACAACAGGTCAGTGAGCCAATCAGAAAAGAGAAGGCTCTGAACCTCTCTTCTGATTGGCTGACTGTTTTCTGAGTGATCCAATAAAAATATAGCAGATTTCAGGTAAACAGGAACCAAATCCTACAAGGTTGGATTGTGGGTCCAGGTGGGCGGGACTTGAGGCTGGGCTGAGTGTGGTGTCTGCTTTCTTGTGACATCACAAAGTTCTGACAGCTGGTTTTAAGGCTAAGTTTCTGGACTGAGCGCTTTGATACTTTCACAGTATTAATATAGAACCTAGAGCTGCTTTATAATCAAACAACACATGGAGAGAGACCTTTAGACTGTGTGGAGCTTTAAACCCAAACCCAGTTACAATTCTTATGTCTAATGTGGACATAAGCATTGACACTCTCAGTTCTTGACTTTGTGATTTTTCCTGGGTGTCAGTGTGTCAGAGGTCGGCTGGGTTGTACTGTGTCCTGCTTCGTCACACTATCTCCATCTTGATAACTGTTTGAAAAATGAAAAGCAAAATGACACTGAACATAAAGAGTGTACAACACATTGTGCTGTCCCTTGATTAAAATGTGATGAACACTAATGACTGATGCTTTCTTCCTCTTCAGGGTTTCCTGTATGAACTAGACAAGGTGAGTTACTGACAGTTCTTAAAAAGTTATATTAGAGACAGATTTTTACATTAGACAGGCCTGTATTTCTAACCCTGCCTGTTTAAGTATGAACTCGTATTCTAGTAAGAAGCGTCCTGTTTCAAACTGCTGTTAATGTAAACTCAACACTTCCTCCATGTTTACTTGTGTCCTGATGTTAAATTTCCTCTGTAGATCAACACAGTTTTGTCAACACTCTAACACTAATTATTTCCAGTCACTTCTACTCACTGTTTGTTTAGCTCTGTTAAGCTAGCCTCAATGAAGCTCAACACTTCCTGCACAGATGTTTCACAAAAAAAGCCCTCCAACAGCTCAGAGGTCTGATCCTTTCTTGGTAGGCTTGAAACATTTGTAGGAAGTCTTGGCAGCTTAACTGAGACCCACAAAACAGAAATTAGAAGGAACTATTTGTGTGTTGTGTTGTGTTGTGTTGTTACATTGGAGGTCATTTGACCCACCTCAGTGTTTTTAGGAGTACTGTCCTGGGGCCAGTTGCACAAAAACCTTAAGATTTCCACTCAAGTATGGAGGAGGAGGAGTTACTTAAGGGTGTTACACAGAATGTCTTTAAGAGTTTCCTTAATTAAGGAAAAAAAGTTGAGGTATTTGCAGCAGTGAAGGAGATTTTACTGAGGTGAAGATAAAATTCCACTGTTCCAATAGAGACCTTTTTTTTTTGGCTGGCACTAGCTTGTGATACGGTTTAAGGGTGTCTCCCAGGTGCAGCACACTCTTCCTAGGATGTGTTCATTTTCTTCATTTATCACCATAAACTCAGCTCATGTTGCAAGTAAGACAGAGTCAGAGGAAGCTTTAGTTTGTTTTTTTTCCTTAATTTGGTCACTAAGATCTTTTTTTGTAATGGTTTAACTGACTTTAAGTAATTCCTCAAGTATGACACTAAGCTAAAGAGAAATGCTTAAATACTTAAGTGAACATAACTCCGACTTTAAGGAAAATCTTAACTTAAGGTGTTTGTGCAACTGGTCCCTGAAATTTAAACTGGACTTAAGTTGGTATACTGTGAGCTTAGTTCAGTCTATGTTGAATAGTAGGATTAAATGTACCCTGTGCTTTACTGTAACAGCAGGTGAAGGTGACTGAGCGGTATATAAGACGACTGGAGTTTCACCTCAGCAAGGTAAGACCACCATGACCTCTGTCAGAGAATACCTGTCTACATATGACAGAAATGTGTTCTCGATAGAACTCCACTGGTTGCTTTATATTAGATTGAGTTTTTGTTCACATGACCTCTCAGTGACCCCTGATATTTTAATGTGGGGTTTTTTTCTGTATGCCTGTTTTTGGATGGTGGACAAAAAAGAAAAATGTTATAGTACACATTAGTCATAGTCTGAATTGACTGACTGTTGATACAACTTAGTGTTTTATAGGCAGCCAGTGTTGATGAGGCTCTCCTTGAATTAAATTTCCATTTTACATCTGAAACCAAGTACCACTTAACAATACTGAACCTGCCAGCTATAGTGGAAGTCTTCCAATCTCCATTTATTTTTTATAGTATATTTTACAGTTTTCAAGTCAACATGATGCAGCTTACAGAGGCCAAAACTAAATGGACTGCACAAATATAGAGCTTTTCTAATCTAATTGACCACTCAAAGCACTTAACACTACAATCCACATTCACCCATTCTCTCACATATCTACTGTATACAGTGCAACTTCTATGCATACACTCACACACCAGTGATACATGAGGGGCAAATCAGATTCATTAGCTTGCCCAAGGACGCTTCAACATGAGGGACTGAAGGAGCTGGGAACTGAATCACTAACCTTCCGATTAGTGGACAGATTGCTGTACGTCCTGAGCCACAGCAGACAACTGAATATCTCAATTTAAATCCAAAGAAGTCCACACTGATGATCCATCAGAATACGTCCTGAAGGATTCTGACAGTCCCAGAAAGCAGCTCTACCAAAGATGCAGAACATCTGTATATATGAGCCACAGGAAACCTGAGCTTCAGGTGATGTTACTGACAACATCAAATAATGTCTAAAAATCAGCAGTAAAACCAGGACAGTGTGGGCACTACAATTAAATCAAATCAATAGTGACCATGGAAACAACAAAGCCCCATGCTGTTGGTTGCTATGACAATACACAAACATCACACATAGTGTGACAATAACAAGAAGTGAAAACACTACAGAGCAGTTTCACTAAGTTCAACCAACAGGAAATGAAAAGTGTTTGTGCTGATCAGTGACCTGAATATCAACACACAGTGATGGATCCACACAACAAGCCCAGATAGAATGAATATGTCACAGCAGAGTGTATCTATAAGTGAATACCATCACTCACAGTTGATATGTGCATCTCTCATCTGAACATTTGGACAGCAGTTGGACAGAGCGTTATGGTTTCAGTCAAATTACACACACCAGAAGACACTGACAAACAATTATATAATTCATAATAATAATAATAATAATAATAATAATAATAATAATAATAATAATAATAATAATAATAATAATAATAATAATAATAATATAATTATGAACATATTTTATGAAGAATAGTAGAAGATTAGAGTAAACTAGTAAAACCCTGAACATGGGAGGGAACCTGTCTGATTAGTTTATCAGGCCTGTAGTGACAGGTGTCTTTGGTCTTTCAGTATCACTTGTGGAACAGTTTTATACTCTCCTTGTTTCTTCCTCCTTGTAACAAGGTCTTTTGGGTGGATTAAGAGTCAGTTTTTCAACATAGAGGCAGAAAAATCGAAAAATCTTTTTTGCTTAGGAAGGTTGAAACTGAGTGAAGTGAGCTGAAGTATCTGAGCAGCAGCCGTGATCACAGCTGCTCCACTTCTCTAAATGATGAGGAAAGGAGCTTCAGTGCTTCCTATCTTATCTCCTTTAGCATAGGAAACACTGGAGCTTCCTTCACAAGAGGAAAGGAGAAAATGCCTTCCCACAGTTCCTTGCTGCAGCAGCATTTAAAGTGACGCACCGTTATAGTTTCACCTAAATGTTGAAATAACAGAGCAGCTGTTTGTTTGTGACACGATTCAGAACTGATGGAAATCCTTGTTTGATCGTCTGAAGCCCTCCTTCCTTCCCACTGGGTAAAGCACTAACAATGAATTTTCTCTACTTAACAAATGTATAGAATTGTAAAAGGTGCCTATGGCAGGAAACTATATATATTGTGTGAATATAATTTACTCTGATCTTTTGCTCAGTTCGTTATTTTTTATTAAATTATTATTTCAATGGCTCAACTTTCTCTTCTTGTATATTCCTTTGATATTATCTTATTTCAACATTTTCTACACAATCCTGTTTGCTTTGTTTTTGTAGTTAGGAAAGGAGGATTTATCGTCCATGTGTTTTAATAAACTTAGTTTGAAAAAATAAATCCTAGTGTAAGTGCAGTTTGATTATTGTGTTTTCCTAAGTCCTTATGAATTCTCCGTGATATCTTTCCTGGATCTCATAAAGTTTACCATCGAGGTCAAGGAGAAGTGGTTAGAGAAGGAGATTATTTTTGACTTTTCAACCTCAGCCTCAGTCTCACTAGAATGTAGACTAGTTAGAGGGAAATCAGGGAGTCCAGAGCTACTGGATCTGCAGGCACAGCAATAACTTACTGTAGTCAGAAAGAGACTGGCTGTCCTCAGCTGCTGGTATTCAGAGAGTCAACGGTCTGGGCTGCAAAGTTGATAAGTTTAACTTTTGCGTGCTGCCTAATACATATCTATTTAACTGAATGGCCTCAGATTATGTGATTGTATACACTCATACACTCTATATGTGTAATATCATAAATTTTCTTGCAACAATAAGTTATCAGACAGCGTTATCAGCGTTCACACTCACCTGCTGATACGGCAGTGACTGGTTAAGGCAGATCAATGTCATTGGACCGGGGAGTGTAACGTGTGTGTGTGTGTGTGTTTGTGTGGCCACTTGATATGGTTCTTTATGATGGTGCATGATAGTCTCTGTATACCGACATTTTTAACAAAATTTGAAAACTGGTAAGTTATGAAGTGCCATCAGGGACATTATTTAGAATCTAGAATTACCATGCATATACACATATGAAACCATACTCATTCACATACTATACTGATAAGCTCACACATATACAACTAAAACACTCCTAAAGGAGTTTTAAATCAAAACACAACTGGACTTGATTATTTGTCTGGGAAGACGTTTCACCTCTCATCCAAGAGGCTTCATCAGTTCGTGTACGCATCTGACCAGGCTGGGACTGGTCTAACTTTCTGGTGTGGAGACCCAAGTATTTAACCTCTTGTGGGCGTTCACAAGGCTGATGATGTCATTGGTTTCTGTTTGTGCTCCAAGTGTCAACGACAGTCGTTTGCACGACCGTTGTTGGTGGGAAGTTGGTTTCGACTTCGTTAGTTGCTCTATTGTGTTATAACGACAGTCGTAGGAGTCACTTGGGATCAATGACAGTCGTTGGCATGACTATTGTTGGTGGAAAGTTGGTTTTGACTTCGTTAGTTCTCTACGACAGTCGTTGGAGTCATTTGCCACTTGTGAACAGTTGTTATGCTTCGAGGCTAGATTGTTGAATC